GGAGGCTGGAGGGGAATGTGGCACAGCCCTTCCCTTGCCCCTGCAGGAGGGAAGGTACGGTGTCCCTCGGGTCCTCTAGGTCTTGACATGCTGTCCAGCTGGTTGAGGGCTCCCATCTGTCCCCTCCCACCACCCCCAAACTCCTGCTCAGCTGCAGACCCCCGTGGCCTGAACCTGTCACCACAGGAGGACCTCAGGAGCTCAGGTGGGGTTCTCGACAGCCTGGTGGAGCAGGACTCAGGGAGTCAGAGACAGCAAGATTCTCTTGGGGAAGCAGCAGTGAGGCCCTGGCCCAGGGGCCAGTGTCCCCAGGGGGCAGGCGGCCAGGGCTGGACCAGTGTGGGCCAGGGCAGCTCCCTCCCATCCTCCCTCTGTCTTGCCACAGTTCTGGCCCCTGCCCTCCTGCACCCTCGCTCGCTTCTCTTTTGAGACTCGGTGTTTTTTCTRTCTCGGGAGTGGATCTCCTTCCCTCTGGCATGTGGGCTCCTCTGGGGGACGTGGTGCCCACGGGGGCCAAGTAGAGTGGAGACCACCAGGCACCACACCTGTCCTTCATCTCCTCGACGTGGGGAGAGTGGGTGCATGGGGCTTGACCCTCGTGATGTGGGGGCTGCCGGGTCAGGCCTGTTGCTGGGACTGTCCAGTGGTCAGCCCTTGAAGACTCCTGAGGGTGTGTGCCATCATTAGAGATGCCCATACCCCCTAGGCTTCTACCCCACAGGATCTTAGGGTGGGGTGCCCAAGCACAATGGGCTTGGCCAGGGCTAGGCTGAAGTCTCAAATCAGGGTTACCCCGTGGCCAAGGGCACAGGGCATGGAGCAAGCCTCAGCCAGGAAAGGGCACGGGAACCTGACCCTAGACCTCAGTGGGCACACCTAGGCCTTCACACCTGATGCCCCAGGGCCCTCGTGCCCTGTCTAGGCAGGAGGGGGCTGGGCCAGCCCAGATGTTCTCAGAGGGCCTTGTAGAGTCAGTAACCAGGGTCACGACTCCCACTGTCCCCAGGCTCCCCACTGCCCCAGGCCCCACTTGTCCCATGAGGCTCCCTCTATACCAGGAGTCCTCATGGGCCCTCTGTCTCCCAGGGCTCCTGCTGTCCCCACAGAGACCCAGGGGTTTCCACTCTTGGGTGCACCCTCTGGGCACAGTGGCTGCAGGTCCTGGTCTCAGTCTCTAACCTTTGGCCTCTGGTCTCTCTCAGGCCACACCCCTGAACAGCTGTAGGCTGAGCACAGTGACCATGGGTCTGTCTGCTGCTGCCAGGAAGTAGGTCCAGGAGCCCTGGGGAACAGGGCAGAAGTGGAGCCTGTACCTGGGGGATGCATGGAATGTGGAGGGGCCTGCGTCCCCACATGGAAGGTCCTGCCTCGTCAGGGCCACCTTCCCCTCCTCTTCCTGGGTCAGGAGGGCCTGGCCTGCTGGGCAGCGGGGATCCACCAGACTCTATGGGGTGCTCCACTGTGACTTTCTCCACCTGTTCCTTGACTGAGTGACTGTGGGGGACAGGTGCCTCTGGCACTTGGATGCTGGGAGATCGGGGGGTTTGCTCTGGAATGATCTGGGCAGGAGCTGCAGGGCCAGGCTGCAGGGCCTCCTGTGAGAGGAGGGAGGTGGCTTGGTGGGTTGCTGGCTCCTTCCAGCCGTGGGCTCCCTGGGGACAGCGCCTGGGAAACACGTGGCCATGCTGACTTGGCCCCAGGGTTAGGAAGGCAGATGTGGCCCCTGCCCCAGGGAAGGGCCTGTGTCCAGCGCCGGGGGCTGGGAAGACTACTGCCCATGCATGCGGGAATGCCTGACACTGGTTTGGAATTTGCAGGGGCTGTTTGTAGCTGGGGGTGCAGGGGCTGCAAGAACCTCACCACAGCCCAGGGGCCCTTCATCACCGCCAGGTGGGAGCCCCAGGTTCAAACGTGGGTCCCATGAGGAGGGGACATTTGGGGCCTTGGGGGCTCTGGGATGGCCAGATGAGGATCCATTAACTCAAGCCTCCATTCCCCTGAGCTCTGGTGCTGACGGCAGGCAGAGAAGGAGTGCCTCCTGTCCTGGCTCCCCTGACCTGTCCCTCTGAGGCTTCTTCAGGCTGCACAGAAGGCTCAGGGACTGGCCTCCGAGGGCAGGCCCAGCAGAGGCTGGGGTGGGCCTTCCCACCAAGCTGCTTTTGCTGTAGTGGCAGCCCCTCCTCCACAGAAAATCTGGGTTAAGCTTCTCTAGAGACCCCCACCACCTGTGGAGACACAGCGGGAGGAGAAACACTGACCTGAGGTTCCACAGGGGACTTGCATTTCAGTCAAGTCCTTGAAGGGCACCTGGCGAGAGAAAAAACCAAACCAAAGCGCCCTCTTTCCCAGGCACTGACATCCACAGAGAAAGGAGAGAGAACGTCCCTGGGGTTGTTTCTGTAAAACTTGGCCTGAGCTGGGAACCGAAAAGAGGGAAGAGTCCTGTTGCCTGTGGACACCCTCCCCCGTGCACTGGGTATGACGTTCTGGAACTTCCTGAACTCGGGGTGCAGGGGGATGGGTTGATTCTAGTGAAAGCTTTTTTCCCCTCTGAAGCTGGGTGCAGCCAAATAAGTCTGCTTCCTGGTCATTCCTTGGTGTCATCTCTCTGTYCCTACAGCTTTGCTACTTCTCAGGCTCTAACCCGAAGTCTGAGCAGGGCCTGGGCTGCAGGAGAGCCTCGGCTGGGTGACCAGCAGGAGCGTGGGAGGGCTGGCTGGACAGGCAGCAGAAGCGGCGGCCCCACAGGGGTGAGGCTGCCCCCACTGTGGAGGGAGAGGTGAAGGCAGGGGTGCCAGGAAGCTGGGCCCTCGGCAGTGGGGATATTCCTGTGAGCCTGCTCCAGCAGGGAGAGCTTGGCCCAGGGCTGTGCATGTCCAGGCCACATGCTACCCAGCCACCACGGCAGAGGTCTGAGGCACACGAGCGTGGGGACGTGGGAGAGACCTGGTAGCGAGGGAGCTGTGACTGGAGCTGTGGTGAGCAGGTGCAGTATGGGTGTTGAGAGCTTGCTGGTGCAGAGAAGCTGGCGAGGGTGGCCGTGGGGGAGGCTGATGGGGAGGTTGGCTGGGGACATGTGTGGGGGAGGTGAGTTAGGTGGGAGGTGAGGAGGAAGCTGTGGTGGGGACCAGGGGAGGGGGCTGGGCCAGCTCCAGAGGTCAGTGGAGCTTGGTGGCAGCCCTGCATGAAGGCTTAGCTTGGTAGGTTGGTAGGCTGTTGGTGAGGGACCTGGTGTGGCAAGGCGGCACTGGGATGGCCACTGGCAGGTCCCTGGAGGAGGGGCCTGGCTGGGATGTGGTGTTTGCAGGGACGTGGGAGGGGTGCTGCGCAGGAAGGTGACGGTGGGTCTGGAAGGGAGGTGTGACTTGGAGGGAGCCCCAGGAGCTGCCTTGCTGGGGTCCACTGGTGACGAGGATTGTGCTGCTGGCAAGGGCACTGCTGCCAGGGGTATGCTGGTCGGGTGCTTGCTGGGGGGGTGTGCCGTGGTGCTGGCTGGTGATGACTTGGGCTGCCCGTGAGTGGATTTGGATGTGATGCTCAGGGGTGGGATGTGGTGTCTCCTGTGCAAACTGACGGTTCCCTATGGAACCTCCCAGGGGCTGAATGAGAGACCTGGAGTCTGAAATATCCCAAATCACCCAAACTGCACGTCTGTCTGGCCATCACCTGCTGCCCACCTCCTCTTGTCCACCCGCAACTTGCCCTCCTCGAACCGTGGGTGTCTGGAGCCCCCTGTCCTGGCTTGGAGCCGGGAGAGGTCAACCTAGCGCCAAGTGGCAGGGCACAGTCTCGCTGAGGCTGGTGGCTTGGGGAGGGAACATGTGGCCAGTGCCTGTGGCCGTCCTTGGACACGGTGCCTGTGGGGTGTGTGCACAGTGTAGTCTCAGGGCCTGGAAGAAGCCCTGAAGGTGTAGCACAGACCTGGGTGGGGCCAGCCGGCACAGACACTGGGGGATGGCAGCAGCAGGGGGTCCAAAGCCTTTATTGGACATGGGTTCATGGACAGGGACTCTCCGGTGAGCTCATGAGCTCAGGGGTTGTGGGCAGGTGGTGACCAGGCCCTGGCAGGGCTGGAAGAAAGCTCTTGGAAGGGGAGGGGAGGCAGGGAGGCTGAGAGGCAGTCAGCCGACTACGGGGAGCCTCTGGGCTGGTGGAGGCCTTGGGGGCAAGGTGTGCACAGGACAGATGGACAGGAGGGGCCTGGGAGCTGCAGGTGGGCAAGGGCCTGGGGCCAGAGGTCCTCCCATCCCGACCTCCTTGGGAGAAGGGGCTCTGGCCGGTGGGAGAGGACTCCAGCCAGCAGTCCAGCTCCCCTGGGGACTGCCGTGTGAGTAGCACCATGGCCGGGGAGGACAGGTGGGCTGGCGCTGTCAGTGCTAACAGATCCAGCGGATGAACCTGTCGAAGAAGCCGGGCTGCACCAGGCTGTCAAAGTCCTTCTCCCGGAAGATGGCCGCCCTGTCGCCCAGGCTGATCTTGTGCAGCACGTCCATGTCCACATCGCTGCCCACGGCCACCACGGTGGGCACCACGTTCTGCTTGCGCATGGAGTGCACTGACTCCTCCAGGCTGGCGTTGCCGGTGACGCCGTCGGTGAGGAACACGAAGGACAGCTCCGCGTGCCGCCGCGCCCCGCCCTGCGCGCCCCGCACCACAGTGTTGATGGCGTGCACGATGCCGGTGCCCACGTGGGAGAAGGAGTTGAGGTAGCGGAGGTCCTGCAGAGCCTCGTGGATGACCGTCAGGTTGGAGGTCAGCGGGAAGGCCACCTGCTGCTCCTGCTGGCCGCCGTACTGCACCAAGGCCACACGGGCATTGAGGGGGTCGTCCTCCCTGCGGGCCAGCGTCAGGCGCCGGGACACCTCTTCCACGAAGCCGCGTGCCTTGTGGAAGTTCTGCTCTCCCAGCCGCTCAGAGCCGTCCAGCAGGAAGACGATGTCCACTGGCCGCTGCGTACACTGTGCCACGTACAGCTCTGTGGGGGAGACAGGAGATGGGGCCTGCCGTGGGGGCGGGCGGGACATTCCCTCTGTGCTTTCTGTCCAGAGTGCCCTGAACTGTGGGCCTGGGGGCCTCACCCTGGCCACTACGGGGGTCCCAGCAGATCAGCCAGGTGCGGGTCCTGGGCCCAGGCTCTGTCAGGGAGAAGCAGGTCCTCCTGCCAGGAACACTCCCAAACCTGGAGCCAGAGGGGCCTCCCACTGTGCCCTGCCCAGGCCAGCACCTCCAGGCCCTTCTGGGTCGGAAAATGGACACCATCCCGTGGGACCCCTGGCCCTGACCACCTCAGAGCTGCCCACCCGCCCTGAGCACTGGAACTGGCCACGTGTCTCCCAGGAGGTCAGGAGCCCGTGTCCCCTGGGCTTGCTGCAGCGAGCTCAGGTGTGGCTTCTCGGAGACACACTACTGCCAAGACGCCCCCCTGTGTGACCGTCCACCAGCTCTGGACACAAGGGCAGCCTGGGTGACTACCTGCAGGGTGTCAGAGCCCATGCGCTGGGACCCCTCTGTCTGTGCACCAGGGACTGTGCCCAGCTCCTTGCCTTGGAAGGGGCCATGGATTGGCTGGTCCCCCCTTGATGCCATCAGGGAGTCCACCAGGACCCTAGATGCTCAAGACCCAGGGCCTCACACACCCACAGGCGTGCACGGCTCTGCCTCTTCACACGGCTCAGCTTTATGTCCACCTTTATGTTTCTGGGGTGGACCGCCCCCCACCCCCACGCCACAACTGAGTATCGGGCATGGTCTTTTCAATGAGCTCAGTAACGACGCCGTTATTCTAGTGCAGACCACCCCTGGCCCTCGATCAGAGGACCCGGGGAGTGGCCAGGAGTGACAAGCCCTCAAAACTGACAAACTTCCTCACAGTCGTCACCAGAAACACAGAGACAGACAAGCAGCAAGTGGCTTCTGTCCGGGGCAGGCAGAGGTGCACAGTGGTCAGCAGTCTTGAGACTCTGGCAGCCTCTGCACCTCCCAGTCCTGTGGGCGCCCCTTCCTGCCCACCACCCCCACAGCAGGAGGGATGCCCAGGGCAGAAGGAGGGCCCCTGGGGCTTGCTCAGAGCCCCTGCCTAGGCCTGCCTGGGGCAGCGATGCTCCACCGTGCTCCCTAGGGAAGGCCGTCACATCAGCAGAGTACCCTACAGGTCCGGCCAAGGCGCCTGAGGGCAGCAATGCCTCGCCAAGGGTGGACAGGCACCAGGAATGTCTCAGGCACCCAGAGGTTAGCTGGGATGCCTGGAGGTCAGACACGTGGTGTGACCTCATGGCTGGCTCAAAGGTATCCTGGCTGCAGGACTGCCCGGCTCCCCAAAGAGCCACTGCCACCTAGTCCTGGTCACCTGTGGGCCAAGAATACCCAGCGTCACTAAACTCAGGGTCACTGTCCAAGTCTGAGACCAGGGTAGACCAGACACTGGGACCCAGCGAAGAAGACATCCCTGGGCGCTGACCGCACACCTCCCACCCACACCCTGRGGCAGCTCAGCAGAGTGCTGGTGTAGTGGGCTGACTAATGGTCCCCCAATGAGGACCCGTTCTAACCCCCAAGAGGTAATGGTCACTTTATGTGGCAAAGAAGGACAGCGCTGGGTGAAGGAGCTTGAGATGGGAACCACCTGGATTTAGGGCAGGCCTTAATTCAACGACCATTGTCCTTGTAAGGCAAGGAGAGGACACAGGCAGAGGAGGGCCAGGGGGAGACCAGGTGAGGCTGGAGTGAGGGGTCCAGGAGCCAAGGCTGGCGGAACCCCAGCTGAAGAGCAGGAAGGCCCCGGGTGGAGCCGGCCTCTGGAGGGAATGTGGCCCTGGAGACGCCTCCATTCTTGCCTCCAGACAGTGGGGCCACGGTGCCTCTGAARCCCTCGGTTTGTGAAAGGCAGGCCTCGAAGCTAAGGAGCGGAGTGGGGGCAGCTCCAGCCTCTCTGCACACATGGCCCTGTGCCTCAGCAGAGCGCCAGTGCCGTCTCAGGGTCCCCAGTGATGTCCCTGTGCACCAGCTTAAAGGTGTCAATGAACAGCTGCATCCAGTCTTGCCGCTCGACCCCTGTGGCGAACTTGGCCCGCTCTGCGGTGTAGACCATCACGGCCACCAGCTGGGAGTAGGAGGCCGGGTCCTGTGTGACCTTGGTGGTGTTTAGCAACTGCTGGATCAGGGGGATGGTCCTGGGGAAGGTGGGGTCTGGGCCCTCTTCCGTGCGGAGGAAGGTGACCGGGGGCTCGCCGCCAGGCCGCGCTCCATCTGCAAGGGAGCGTCCACAGAGCACTTTAAGGGCCAGGGGTGGGTGTGAGTGGGCCTCCAGCCCCTCCTCGGGCCTCTCTGCAGAAAGCAGAGTCGGGACCAGAGCGGCAGCAGAGACGAGGCCCAGGAGGACGAGTGGCCAGGAGGTGCAGTGGCCAGGAGGTGCAGTGGCCAGGAGGTGCAGTTGGGAGTGGTGGCCTTTGGCCCCGAGGCAGCAGGAGAGCAGGCAAGCGGCAGCCATCTGCCCTGCCAGGAGACCCTCAGCACAGCGGCTGCCCCCAGGCCCGGGCTGGGACGGGAGCAGAACCGCACGGCTCCCCAGGAGACCCTCCCCTGAACGTGCCCCAGGAGGCCTGCAGCCCTAACCAGTCCAGCCCTCTCAGATGTGAGCTGTGGTCCTTCCACCGCCACACTGTCTTCCAGGACCCAGGGACCCCCAGGAGACGAGCCTTCTACCTAACCCCATCCTCTCTCTCCTTCCCTCTGTCCCTGTCTCTCTGGCTCCCCATCCCATCTCTGTCTCTTGTCCCCCCCCTGTCTCTCCCCTCCTCCCTGCCTGTCTCTCCACCCTCTCGGGATCCCCTCTCTGGTTCCTCCCGGTCTCCCCCCACCTCTCTCTCTGGATCTCCTTGTCTCTCTCTCTCCCCCAACCACTGTTTATCTCTGCATCCCTGTCTTTCTGTCTCTGGATCTCCCTCTGTGTCTGTCTCTG